AATGACCTTATGGACGTGGTGTTTCTCCATATTGCACTAAAGAAATTAGACCCCGACACCGTGCGTGCGTTTGAAATGGAGCATCGTAGCTCGGAGATGCCTTCCTTTCATTCATTAGCATCGTTTGTGCGAGATCAAATAAAGGTGATGCAGCGCTCCCCGAACGTTAAACAGGAGATTAAAAAGTGCGGCGACCGTAGACAGACTCAACCACCTAAAACAGCAGGGTCGTTAACGTACGTAACCGCTACGTCGGCACCACTTCAGCATGCCTGTATCATATGCAAAGATAAACACGGTAATTTATACAATTGTGCGACTTTTCGTAAATATTCACCAAGCGAACATTATAAAATGGTAAAGACAAACAACCTATGTCTAAACTGCTTAAGCGATAAGCATTTAGTTGCAAAATGTAATTCTAGTTCCGTATATAGCAAGTGCGCCAGGAAATATCACACGCTATTACATTTTGAAAATAGCAACATATCGGCGTCAAGTAAAGCGGACAAGGAATTCACCCCTACTAAAGTCAACGATTCTAGCGGTCGACCTGGTGATGTCGCTCTGTGCTCATTGGCAAATATGGGAGCACAACCTCCTTCAACCGTGTTACTGGGTACGGCACGTATTTTGGTTAGGGATTCGCGTGGAAACGAACAAAGCGTCCGTGCACTGCTGGACAGCGGAGCCCAAAATAGCTTTATGACGCGACAATGTTGTCAGCGCTTAGGCTTAGTAATAAATAGGTCACTTTCATGTCCCGTAGTCAAAGGCATCGGAGGTAGTAGTAAAGCTACACAGGAATATATAAATTTAAAATTTTATTCTCGGATAGATCGTAATGTTAACTTTGATATAAATGCACTAGTAGTAGATAGGGTCACTGAACGGCTGCCAACCGTTTCGGTTGACATCTCGGCAGTGATTGAATTTAAAAAGACTCTAGCAGACGACACTTACGCCGTTCCTGGAAACATAGACATGCTCATTGGAGCATCGCTTTTCCTTCATCTTTTGTTAAACATTAAGGTCAGGGGCAACTCCTCGCATACCGTGCCTTACGCATTGGAAACCGTCCTGGGCTATGTCATCGTTGGCTCCGCGACCATCATGGATAGTATTTCGGCAACCTCTTATTGTGGTATGGCTGTCGAACCACTCGAGTCGTTAGTCCGCAAATTTTGGGAGATGGAGGAGGTGAACGTCCCACCCATAGCTAGCTCAGATGACAGATTATGCGAGGAAATTTACGTCCGCACGACCGTTCGTAATTACGACGGTAGATATAGTATAGCGCTACCCTTTAAAGGAGATGTTTTATCTCTCGGCGATTCGCGTCAAATGGCAGAAAAACGTTTCTACAGCTTGGAGCGTAGGATGCTCGCTTCACTCCAGTCAAAGGAAGCTTATAACGGCGTCATTAACGAATATATAAGGGAAGGTTACATATCACTTGTGGCTTCGAAATTAGATAACTACGAAGACACACGGTCGTATTTCATACCACACCACGGGGTCATTAGGGAGGACAAACTTACATCTAAGTTACGGGTAGTGCTCGACGCTAGTGCTAATACTAGCACTCACCTGTCGCTTAACGATATCCTCTATAGTGAGCAAAATTTACAGGGCAGTTTATTTAATATAATAGCCAATTTTCGTTTGTTTAGTATAGCACTATCCGCCGATATTCGCCAAATGTTTCTTTGCATAGGGGTCCGTGAATGCGACCGTAGATTCCAACGCATTTTATATCGTTTCAACCCAAAGGAACCTCTAATGGTGTTTGAATTTAACCGCGTTTGTTTTGGTTTAAAGTCGAGCCCATTTCATGCGTTACGCACGGTGAAACAGCTATCCCACGATGAAGGTCCCTCTTACCCTAAAGCTAAGAGGGCAATTGAGAGCGGTTTATATATGGATGATTTTGTATACTCGGTCGATAGCGTGGAGGAGGCCATCCTAACCACCGCCGAAGTTATAAGGCTCATGAAATCGGGTCAATTCGATCTTGTGAAGTGGACTAGTAATTCGCGTCCGGTTTTAGATACAATCCCACTATCACACCGTCTTTCGGTGATAAATGAATTCGACGATTCTGATACACACAAGGTGCTCGGTCTGTGTTGGTCACCAGAGTCCGACGTGTTTAGCCTTAAGGTAAATCCGCCCATAGAGAAGTGCACAAAGCGCACAATGCTGTCATGCGTTGCTAGATTATGGGATGTCATGGGTTTCGTAGCCCCGGTGGTACTATACGCTAAGCTTTTGATTAAACAACTTTGGTTATTTGAATGCGATTGGGATGACCCGCCGCCTGATAGCATTGTTCGGTCGTGGCAGCGTTTTAGAGGAACTTCCATTACTAAGCGGAATTAAAATACCGCGTCACATAAACGTCGATAGAAATAGCATCATCACGGTCGTTGGGTTTGCAGACGCTAGCGAGGAGGCTTACGGGGGCGTTGTATATTTTCACGTCCAGAATAATGATAGAAATTCGATCAGCCCCATTAGCTCTAAGTAAGAGTCTCCCCCCGTAAGGTTGTCTCCCTCGCGCGCTTAGAGCTTTGCGCGATATTAGTCCTTACCAAGCTTATCACCGCAGTTATCAGTGCATGTAGTGACAGAGTTCACATAGAAAGGATATTTGCTTTTCTGACTCAACCGTCGCTTTATGTTGGGTTCATTCTTCACCCCACCGTTGGAATACCTTTGTCGCGAACCGTGGTCTAAAAATGCAGTTACTTTATCTACTTTTAGACCATCTTAACTCTATAAATTCTAAAATTCAGTTCACAATGGAGTTAGAGGCAAACAATTTAGTTTACAATAGCTTTTCTAGATGTGTTAGTAATTCGGAATCCTGATAACACCTTGAGCCATACTGTGTATAGAAAAAAGACCCATACAGATAGATATTTAAACGGTGATTCTCACCACCATCCTTCACAGTTAGCTACCGTGGGTAAATCTTTGTTTCAGAGAGCACGAGGGATCTGTGACAGTAAACACCTGGCTGCAGAGCTCCACCATGTCAAGCAAGTTTTGCATGACAACAAGCTTCGAGTCCCGCGCCTACGTCATAGTGAACGAGTGAAGCCGGCCACAGTCGAGCGTGTACCTGCTGTACTGCCATATGTTAGAGGAGTCACTGACAAGATTGGCTACATCTTGAAGCGCGCTTCCATCAAAACATACTTCAAGCCGCTGAAGAAGATTGGTCAGTTTTTACCATCGGTCAAGTGTAATGTCCCTCTGCAAGATTCAGGAGTATACAAGCTTGATTGTGAATGTGGTCTCTCCTACATAGGACAAACTAAAAGATCAATAAAAACCCGCGTTAACTGAACATATAGCTGATGTGAAGAATCGACGCTCCGGGAAGTCTGCAGTCTGTGAACACGTACAGGATCGCCCCCGTCACTACATCAGATTTGATAGACCGCAGATCCTCGCTAAAGAACACCGATTCCTTCCAAGGATGATTCGCGAGGCTATTGAAATCAAAAAACATCCTAATTTCAATAGAGAAGATGGCTGGGTGCTACCATCTGCTTGGGATCCTATAATAAATAAAATTAAATCCCAACCCAAGCATACAACTGCAAGACTTCAAGATACCATAAGTTCATACTGCATAGATCGGAACAAAAGTTAAATTTTAATCTATGGTAACCGCGGTTAACTATGACATATGGACGTTGAACATCTCAGTCCTGCCCGTGACCATGAGTGCTGTAAAGCGTTCGAAACGTCGGGTATTTAAAAAGTTAATTATACGCGATAAATTCCGTAAAAATTAGTATTATTACAACAAAATTTAGATGAATTGTCATCCCTGAAGACTAAAACGGAATGCCTTGTTTTCAGTAATGTGTCATCCCAGATGACTAAGATGTAATACCTCGTTTCCAGTTATAAGGGTCTCTGGTTCCCTACACTCACCGTACGAAACACAGCAGTATTAAGCTGCTATTTTACGCTGGTAATTGAGAGAGCGTGGTCTTTCGTGGTTTCCCCGGTCGAGCCGACCCATTAGTGATGCAACCATAAAATAGCTGCTGCATGGCTCTACCACGTTAAATCATGCAGCTTATGAGTTTGACACTGACAGATAACTGAAAGTTATCGTCGTGAATCGACCCATATAAAATAAACAAATACTACGTAAAGTTGTAAGGCGCTGATGTAAGTAAAACTACCGTCTTATCTAGTATCGTGGATAACTATGTTGAATACGCTATGTCACTAATAGTGGTAAAGCCATCTCTAATATGCATGTCGAATTCGCAGATTGGGCACATAAAATTGAAACTTGCGTGAGGTCTGACAACCAGTAGATATGATTTTGTATCCCAGAATCAAAAAAATAAAAGACCTCATAGTTTCTTGCCATTTTTTTTAAGAAGGATAGTATTTTTTTTTTTTGGAAACAGGGCATTCCATCTTATTCCTAGAGGTGGCAACGCATTTACATTTTGATTCGAAATCGAGGAGAGACGTCTATGGGCCATAGCATTCACTTACCATCAGGTGGATTGCGTGCTCGTTTGTCACCCTTAATCTATAAAAAGGGCATTTTTGGAAACCGATTTAGATTTAGACGTTAATAAGAGCTTGTGTTATTGCAAGGCAAGATGAATGCCAGTGTAAAATAGCAGCTTAATACCGCTGTGTTTCGTATCGTGAGTGGCGGGAACCGGAGACTCTTTTCACTGGTTTTGAGGCATTCCATTTGAATCCTCACGGGTGACAACGCGCTTGCATTTTGATTCTTAATTGAGGATAAATGTAGATGTCTATGGACTACAGCATCTCCTTACCATTAGGTGGACTGTGTGCTCGTTTGTCACCTTATGCTATAAAAAAACCCTCTCTAATTATTATGAAAGGAACATCATCAGTAGTAAACTGTTTATAGGCTGATAGCGTTGCAGTAATAAAATGTTTATATTGGTGTTGAAAACATTAAAGAGAGTAAAAATGGCACTCACCATGATGTGAGAGGGGTACGCAATATGACGTGCCCGCGCAGTGTCGCGGCCGCACCTTCTCGTAGCGACTGAGCTGCTGCAGCTCGCAGTCCGAGTGATGCTTTTCTCCTATAGAATTCATTCCTTTTTAACATCAAATTTTTCATTGTAGGCCGAACATAAGTCATTAGTAATATTTTTACGGGCCTCAGTTTATTAAGCATGTACGGCAGTGGGATATAATAAGATCAATAAAGAAGAAGAGGCAATGTGAATTTCATTTTCAACACTGCCGACTAGCCTTTTTGGGAATCCATATTATGAAAAAGTTATAATAACCATGGCGGCACTTGGTTGTGACTCACAAGTACAGAGCCTGGACACTTGTAACATTACACAACATGATAAGTGTTTGAAATTTGTGCTTAGTACATTCAGATAGAAAATTGGTAAATCAATTAGTCATCAGTGCTACGTTTGCCAGCAGGAGGTGTGGTCGCGTGCGTGTGAGGTTAAGGTGATGTGGGCGCCAAAAGCAGATTTTCACGCTTTATAGGTGCGCAGAAAAGCAATTTTTTGCTATTAAAAACTACGAATCTACATTCTTTTTAAATTCATTATGAAAGTTAAAGATTTTTCTTAGTGAGTTATGGTGGCCGAAACATGATTGACACATTTTCACCCGATAGAAAAAGATCGCAAAGTTTCCTCAAACTCTACAATTTTAGGTACATCCACTAAGTGAAAAAACTGTTTCATTCGAATGTATGTAATGAAATCAATTTCAATTAAATTCAGGCTATATGTTCACCAGTAAATATGTGAGTGAATTATGCTCTTATATTTCAATAAAAGAGTATATATAATTATAAAAAGAAATATAAAATAACTATTGTGCGATTAAATAGCGCGCGGGCCTACTAAACAGCCGCCAGTCGCACCTATAAAGCGTGACAAATCTGCTTTTGGCGCCCACTTCACCTTAATATTTAAAAAAGATGCTTGAATATTCGCTTAAATTATGGGCATAAATATTTCAAAATCTTATGTCAGATTAAACATACAGTTAGACCACAGCTTAAGAAGAACATGCAGTCAGTCATCGCGTTTGATGTCGTAAAAGCCGACATCTATACATATAATAAATATTTAGAAAAGTCATGTCTGTAATTCTAATATTTCCTGGAAAAAAGATACTGAAGCCAAGTTACTGGTTTTTAGAATTTTTGTCTGTCTGTCTTTCTGTTTGTCTGTCTTTCTGTGTATTAAAGATTCATGCAAAAACTACTGGACAGATCTCCATGAAATTTTGTATGCAGGCAGTTAGTGACCCGGGGCTACTTATAGGCTAGTTTTTATCTGATTACGGAACTTAAAAAGGAGGGTTAAATAATTTCCTCTCTAAAAGTTAATTTTCTATTATGTATGATTCTGTTAGTTATAAGCGTGATAACGTAGTGTTTTTTTAAAACGAATACAATATTTATAATTAAAGTTTAAAATTTGTTTTAACTGTTATGTAATAATTTGAAACTATGCTAACGATCTACATTGTACGTTTCCGAAACAGCGCCATCTGCTATAAAAAGTAAAAAGTATATATTTAGCCTTCGGTTATTAGTTACTTACTAATAAATTAAACAACATAAATAACTAACATTTATATGTTTAAATAATTATATTTATTAAGTTAGTTTTTCATTCTTTTATTTTAATAGTAATAATTTAAATAGATAATAGCGAAATCTATGAAAATTCAGATGGTTTTTATTTTAATTACTAATATATAATAATGAACTGATTAGCATTGGTTTGTCTGCGATTATTTCAAAACCCTCATTACACTTTAGTTAAAGATATTTTTGTATACGTCGTGGCCAGATCGTAGAATTGATTTTATCATGAATATTCGATCATTACATGAAATTTTGGCATTTTGTGAAATTTAACACTGTGTTTTGATCATATCATGATAAGTCTTTGAAAAAACATTGTTTGAAGAAATTAACAACTAAACCCAACTTTGCTTTTTATAAAATTATAATTAAATCGTAAAATAGTTTCACTAATCACCGCTAGTTGCGCCGAAGGCGCTTTTTTAACAGAAACAGAATTTTTAACAGAATCCACATAACTTTATGCCTTTATGCGACTTTCTTATATTATAATGTTCGCGGCTTTGAGGTAGCCCAACGATCACCCCAGCCGCATATCAATCTACTGTCGCTGATATTCGCCGTAATATCATACGAAGATGGTAATTTCGTACGATATTATGGCGAAACGAGAATTGACTTCGTAGATTCAATTGTAGATTGAGGATAAATTTGACAAACGTTGACATTTATAGTTTATACGATACTAGCGATTCACCCCGGCTCCGCACGGGTGATTTCTGGATATCGGTAACAGCACCACCTACCGGATATAAAATCTAAACTAACTTGTAAATCTAAACCATATGGGACCCACTTGAATACACACAAAAAATTTCATCAAAATCGGTGAACTTTAGCGAGACTATGGGACAGCAATTGATTTTTATATTTATAAATTACTATAATATGCATGTAATAAATACATAAACTTTCCTCTTGAATCATTCTGTCTATTGATGACTCAAACTCAATCTCATCAAAATCCGTTGCGTAGTTTAAAAGATCCAAGCGTATAGACGGTGGGAAGCGTCTGTTATATACTATGGAGAGACGGTCAGTAATAATAGTAAAGTAGTAAAGTAAAGTTACAGCCTATATACGTCCCACTGCTGAGCACAGGCCTCCCCTCATTTATGACACGGTTTTAGGGCGGGGAAGTGTCCGCCGCGCTGCTCCAATGCGTGTTGGCGAACTTCACATGTCTTCGAAATAATTTTTATCTTATGCCTCAGACATGCAGGTTTCCTCACGATGTTTTCCTTCACCGCCGAGCACGTGGTAAATCAGCAATTAAAATTGCAATTAACAATTTCGTTGGTGCCGGCGGGGATCGAACCCGGGTTACTCGCGTTCTGTTATATTACAGCGAGCGTTAACCATCTGAGCTACCACGGCTCCAGTAATAATAGGCTACCATGAAATGATTGCGATATTTGAAGTTCTACGATCTGGCCTAATTTACATAACTTGAGAGTTTTGGCTTTCATAGTTATAATCTATGTATAATTAGCGCCGTCTATTTACTGCTAAATTAACTAATAATAACTAACTGATAAGATTAAATATAATGCTACTGAACCTACTTATTCTTGCAGGATCAAAAACTTAAAATATCCAGCCATTATCGGGATGATTTACCGTAATTGCCATGTTTAACAAAATAACTAACTAAACTGTTATACTGCATAGGTACTGTGTATACAAAACTGTGATTAAAAGAGAAACTTTTTATTAACTATACTTATTGGGTGTATATCGGCATAGCAATAATTTCATTAACTTTCTTTGGTATTAAGTTGTATGTAAGATTTTATCTCTATTTTATGGAGTAGTAAAACTATAAGCAACTATTTTATAGTGCCAATCAATATTCAATAGGCCAATGATATAAAACGAATATCGCAAATAAACACTCTGCCCTACATTAATAGAAGACAACGAAATTCGACATTATTTGGTCAAAATTAAATTATCTAAATGTATAGAGTGAACAGTAAATAATGTAACTTAGAATCGAACATAAACCGATACCTCGGAAGTCATGACCGAAATACAAAGTGACAGGGGTCGCTAGACGTATGATATTAATTCAAAGAATTCTAAAAAAAATCTACGTTTAATAATCTCTGAGAATTCAAAAGATATCACTTGAGTAACAAACGTGCAAACAAGACGACTCTACAAGTGATCTACAAGTGATTATGGATTTTAGAGCAGTATTAATGATGTTCCTCAGCGAAAGCCCACGCGAGCGAAGCCGCGGGTAAAACGCTAGGTAAACAATAAATTGCTAGGGTTGTCAGAACGGGAAGTAGTTAAAAAGAACTGATTTTATTTTATTGCACGTTTAAATAAATTAAATAACTTAATCAGACAATTCGTTTTTTACCGCCCACTCACACACCACCCACCCACAGTTTTTTGAACCATTTTAATTTATTTGCGTGACTAGCGGACAGTTCCCGATCGACTAACGGCCGCTCGGGGGCGCTGCAGCCGCGTCTCGCACCGCACCCCATCGCACGAATGGCCCATCTAGACGTCATCGATGACCGACTGTTAGTAGTAGTTAGACTGTGGTTACACGTTACAAGTTAAAAAAAACCTTCGCGATCACGATGTCGTTGCGGGTGTTTCCTGCACGGTCGGTGCGGCGGTGCGTCGTTGTCACGGTGCCCGAAGGTGCGGAATTGAAGCGTGTGGTCCAAAGTTGCAGCTGTAGCTTCGCCGCCCACGGCGAATGTAGCGTACGGACTTATTTCATACACATCTACACAGTTACCATTAATAGTTAAAATTATTACTTTTCAAACAATATTAGCATAGATATTTAAAATAAAGCTACATTGGGTGCGTTTGGCAGATAAAAGCGCTAGCAAGCGCTTACAAGCGCTAAAATAGTTTTCGGCCAGGACACGATTGCTACTTCAGTAGCGCTGACACAATCCGCCATTTTGCTTATTTAATTTGTTTGTTTTGAAGTCGAGTTTATAAGTTGTTTTGTGCAATATTAGTTTTAAGTAATATAATGACATGAATAAACATATACATGCTATTAAAAATTCATGATTGGTAAGTTTTTAATATGAATACTTTACATATATTTAAATTAGGTTAGAGGTTCCACGGTTAAAACTAACATCGTGTCCTGGAGGAAAATAGCTACTTACGATTTGACAGCGCTTACCGCTTACGATCGCCATTTTGCTTACAAGCGCTTGCTAGCGCTTTTTTCTGCCAAACGCACCCATTAATTAGCATAGATATTTAAAATAAAGCTACATTGTCAGATGTGTGTAAACACTTTTGTGTTAATGTTGCATATATTTTGTCTTTTCATTTACTTTTAAAAGACATTTACATTGAAAGTTTCTATCTTATCGATTTGTTAAGCTATTGCATAGCTTTTATCGCGGGCTTTGAGCGCGGCGACCGAATCAAGAAATTCCGTAATGAAAATAAACCTAACACCCCCCACTCCGACCGGCACAGCGGTGCGGCGTTGAAAGCCGTGCATCGTCGAACGTCGTTTCAGTTCGGCAAACTTCGGCACGGTGTTTGTGTGCGTGCGACTAGACGTATTTAACTTCTCATTTATTCAATAAAAGAAAAAAAATTGTTTTGCTATCGGTCACCACGCTCAAAAAGTGTAACTTGAATTAATATCAAACAAAAATACAAAGAAAAAAATACTGCATAAATAAAATAAATAAATAATTATAATTGCATAAATAAATTATAGTTGATAAAATATGCTATGCAATAGCTTTACTGCGGCAGTCCCCGATAGCCACACGTATTTTTTATATAATAAATTTTATGTACGTCAACATTATAATGTAAATCAACATTATTATTATGATATTTTGAATATACAACATTACTCTTCATGTTTTTTCTTTACATTAAAGCCTGATTGTTACAAACGCATAAAGCGTGCTAAAACTTACCGGAGGCCGGCGATAGTTTATCGTGTTTGTAATCATGTTGGCAATTTCGTATGTTCTGCTGTTCCGGACAAACAGATTTGTCAGTGCTGGCAACTGAATGACTGCATCGCCGTGCCTCTTCATCGACTGGTCCACCACATGGCCACAATGTGCTAAACAAATGAAGTATTAACTCTTCGTTATTGTTCAGGGTTGTATAATTTTATAAAATTCAGTGTAGGACGACACCCGCTAGATGGAAATAAGATCTAACGAGGCATGAAGTAAGTTGCTGTTGTATTTTGTGGAGGTATTTTGGAGGAGAATATTCATCAAAAAACACAATCTAGAGTTTATACTCAAACCCTACAATGTCAAAATTTGTAGAGTACTGTATTGGACTAGATGAAGTGTTCAATTAACAGAATTAATCGTGCTACAAAAACCTAATGAACTAAATCTTATATCCTGGCCATTGTATTGGAAACATTTCGCGCGATATTGATTGACCGTCCTATAAATTGCTTTACGTATTTACTTTCTGCTCTCTAATGAGCATATTTGTGCCGTTTATTACTTCCTGTTACTATGTAATTAATAGTTCAGGGAAAAATTTATTCGTATTTTGCTTGTTTAAAATTGAAGAATAACCTCTTTGGTTGTCAGTTTGTATCTGGCTGGTTTTAATAACAATACATTACAGCATTATGAAAAAGAAAAAGTAGAAATACACTTTCTCGCCATTTTGCAATTGTTTTTGTGTCCTAGAAATGGTTGAATCTAACGAAGAAAATCGATACATTCTGGTTTTATTACAAATAAGAGATGCGATTCAAGCTACGAATTTTTTTTGACGTTTATGACCCTATTGCAGGGTCAGTAAGAATAGCAAAGTTAGTTCAAGTAACTCGCTCTGGTCATATGGAAACAGTGAAGCAAGATCGCCATATTGATAGTTAAGACAGCCGAGGAATTGAGGATTGACCACAAAATAGTTTTGACCCATTTGAAAATGTTGAACACGACGTGTATTCATTTGCGATTCTCTATTAAATAGTAATGAAGCCGAATCATTTTTAAAAAGATTGATCACTGGTGATGATTAGTGGATCACCTACGATAAGAGCGTTCGTAAAGAATTATGAACAAAGGGTAGTCAAGCTCCAGAGACTGCAGTGAAACCCGGATTAACACGCAATAACGATCAAATACTACGTGACGCTATGTGTATGGTAGGATTTGAAGGTTATCGTTTATTATGAGCCTTTATCGCCAGGAAAAACCATCGATTCGGTTCTCTACTGCAAACAACTAATGAGACTCAAGCAAGAAATTGAGACAAAACGGCCGGAAATGATCAACAGATAAGGAGTGGTCTTTCATCACGATAACGCCACACAACACACATCTTTGGCCACTCACCAAAACTTGAGAGAACTTGGTTGGGAAGTGTTAATGCATCCACCATATGCCCTGATCTTGCACCCACAGATTTTAACTTGTTTCGGTACTCTTCAGAATTTTTTGGGTAGTGTTTGGTTAACATAAAGAGAGGACTCTCAAAAACTACTTGTTGCATTTTTTTATCAATATCCCAAGATTTCTACAGCAACGGGATTGTACCACTACCTACGAGATGACAACGAGCTATCAAACAAAATGGCATATATAAATAATTAAACGTAATTAAACTTTGAAAAAAGTCTTGAATTTGTATATAAAATACGAAGAAACATTTTCCTCGACCGAATATTTTATCGTTTAAGCTTATGGTAAAATTGTAGTATTTGATTGAAGTGGGAGTCATGCTGACACATTGATCTTTATCTCATTATCATCATCATCTTTATCTAAGGTCTATACTGGACGTAATATAACTAAGCCTTTACCACATACTAAGCCAAAAACATCCTGCGATCTATCTTCCTCCATTTTGTGCCGTAAGAGTGCGTTAGGAAAATAATTAAATATATTAAGCTTTTAAGGATGACAGAATAAACAATAATACGCAACTAATGATTTGACGCGTACTCGGTGTTGGAGGAAAACGTATTGAGGAAACCTGAATGTCAGGGGAATAAAATATTTGTGTATATACAAAGTTCGCCAACACACTGTAGCACCGCGGTGGAGTGATTGACTTAAAAACTCTCAAAAATGAGAGGTAACCTGTGCACGGCGGTAGGAGATTAAAATTCGAACATATAGACTGTAACTCTTCTTTTAAAATGCCGAAACTGCTTATTAATATCGCCATTTTTATGGCGCAAGATGTTTGGTAGTAGGACTGGCAATCTATTTTTGAATAGTCCCGATTATAATTAAACTTTTTTATCATGATCGTGGTTCAAAGTTGGACTTTGTATTTGATGATGACGACAATATATTTTATCCCTGCGATTGTTGATGTTGTCTTTGATGGAATGCTGTTAATTGAATAAAACTATTATTTACGGATTTTATCGCGTTTAATTACTTTAATTTATTTTTATTATTATCCCGACGTTTCGGGTGCTTTACAGCGCCCATGGTCACGGGGGGACTGAGATGTTTGACGTCCCAATGTCATAGTTAGTCCGGCTACCTTCAGTTTTTTAATATTAATTTTTGGTCCGATTTACGCAAAACATCTCAGTTCCCCCCGTGACCATGGGCGCTGTAAAGCACCCGAAACGTCGGGATAATAATAAAAATAAATTAAAGTAATTAAACGCGATAAAAATCCGTAAATAATAGTTTTATTCAATGTGTAGTGTTCGCGTAAATTTAAGAAATCATTATGGAATGCTGTTAAGTTAACTATAATAGGGCGGACAAGAAAACAACTTAGTGGTCAGGGCCACTCAGTTGTTTACCTGGTTAGGTACTGCTGTTATACTGTTATACTGCTATTATTCGAGTAGTTCCCGGGACGTAGGTTATACATATATATATATATATATATATATATATATATATATATATATATATATATATATATATATATCTGCTAAATTCATAACAAATTGCATTGTTTATTTGATGTCAACCGTTGAACACTCGTTTTTATCTCATACTTCAACATTAATGTCTTTTAGAACCTGATTGATCTTACTTAGAAAGAATTTCCAAAGCTTGTAATAAATGACGATTATTTTATAATGCAATTAATTTTTTACAAGTAATGATTGTTTTTTTTAAATTATTATTATATTACGCACCTTCGTTTTGCCAACAATACAAGAAGTAACGCTGCTACTGCCAAAGCTGCGAGCGCTGCAAAAGCAAGCGATACTGCTCCTAGCACTCGGTCCGTGTCCGCTGTACCACCAACAGCTGGCACGGATCCACTTTCTGCTTGAAATGCTACTGGCCGACGAAGTTTCTCTGTGTGATAGTCATTTAATCAAGTTATATATTTGATGTCAATATGTATGGATAGGATCCGTCCGAGAGATTGTTAAAAACTTGAAAACAAAATTATTGTTATGGACCTAAGACGTGGTTCTTCACTGTTGGCCGTATGAGGAACCTTAAGCAAGCTATGAAGAGAGCTCTGCTCAGAACAAGCTGAAGTGGCAAGGGGACGGTGATATAGCACGAAGAACCGACCACCGATGGGGAAGAAAGGTTTTCAAAATGTGGTGTCGTACCAATAAGCACAGTGTGACATGCAGGAAGTTGATAGATGAAAGTGACTCAGGACCGTGTTTTGTGGTGTTACTTTGGGGAGGCCTTTGTTCAGCAGTGGTCTTGTGAAGAGATGTAATAACGACGATGATGGATGGGAGCCGTAGTAGCTCAGGTTTTAAGCACTTGCCTAAGAATTACGTAGTATTATACATAAACGAACCGAGTACGATTTCATTGAGCAACAATGAGATTGTTACTAGCAATTTTAACTGCTGATTTACGACTAACTCGGTGATGAAAAAAAATCGTAAGAAAACCTGCAAGTCTGAGAAATTAAAAAATGGCAATCTCATTGCTTAATGAAGTCAACTAAAATGTATTGGGGCAGCGCAGCGGTCCCTGTCTTGCTCTTAAATCCCTCAGGAATAATAGAAAGTCATCGATGGAACATAGGCTGTTACTATGCATTTCAAAATGGCTATACTCTTCTGGTTAAAAAAACTAGAATGACAATGATATAGTCTACTTGTTTGCAAGTTCTGGATTCCATACCCACTTGCAAAACAACTACGAAGAAAGAGGGCCACAAGTGCGTTATTCGCTTTTAGAATTAAAATAATTTTTTTTGTGACAAAGCAAATTTATATGGAAGATGTGAACGGCAGAGTCGGTAAGGGATGCTCTAGAAGAAAGTTTATCGATCAAATTGGCGATATTTTAAAAATGGGCCACGTTAGAAGTACCCTTAACCGACGAGCATGTATGCCGTATATGGATGTAAAGGAGGCGAAAGAGGTATGTCAGGATCGTGCCAAATGGAAGTCCGTAGTCTCTGCCTACACGTCTGGGTGACAGGCGTGAGTGTTTATGTTTTTTTTTATATAAAATTTCTAACAACGCGCAACTATTATAGCTATTTATTACTGTATTTACTATTTTATCCCTATATGTTCTTTAAGCATGTATATATGTGTGTATAATATATTTTATGTGTAATCATATTTTTACCGCCAGAAGGAGTTGTGGTTGCAGCGTAAATTATAGCTTGGTGTCGGGCTGACTCTGTAGCTGTCCACAAACGAAGAGCGAACCAGGTTCCTGCCGTTAAGCCATTCACAACGACCTGATATAGTAAAAAAATATTTCTAGCAAAATATACAAGAGCAACAATGGATATATGCTTAAATCGGAATATCTAGTGCTTAAACTAGGAAAAACTTGTATACTACTTAGGTCACCAATAAAAATAAATCGTATTTTATGTTGATTAATCTAAATATTATGTTAACGTCTACGTAAACAAGTATATAAGAATAAGAAATAAGAAATATTTATTCAGTTCAAAAATTGACACTGACTTAGTTACTGTTATGTTACATATTTTGTAAGTCTCATATTTTATCTATACATATAATATATCTGTACAAAAATTATTTGCATTTTAGTGTAGGCAGTAAATTATGGCGTATAACATATAACTTTTTATCCGTTTACGGAAGAGTAAAAAAGGAGGGTTATGTTTTTCTTTATTTAAAAGTTTATTCTCATAATTATAAGAAAAGTGTGTGTGGAAATGAAACTCATCGCGTAACCAACTAGTGACAGCAGAATAACGTTTGCCGGTCCAAGTAGTAATTTATAATTTCGAACAGTATCACAGATCTCAAGCTAGGATTTCCAGTGTCGTGGAGACCAGTCTTCCCATTTATCTAGAACTTAATGATTAGTCGATATAATGTACGAGTGGATTTCTCACATACATAATTTACAACACAGATAAAATAGTAAAGTTAAACAAGAGAAAAACATTTTTGTTAGATTTAGCACTTGCACATACATAACCACAATTTATCTATTTAATAAGGGATATCAAAGGTCCACTGTAGAATAGGCAACCCAATAGATTGCCTCACAGGACAATAGCAAATGCAAAGATGTCACAAGTAACGGTCGGCTTGGCGACCGCAATTTTTATTATTTTGAGTTGTTATTAGGAAAGTGCTCTTGCTAAAATTTTTGCACACAGTCCACCTGATGGTAAGTGGTTGCTGTGACTCACAGACATCTACATCTATCCTTGTATGCGATTCAAAATGCAGATGCGTTGTCACCCGCGAGGACTGAGATGGAATGCCTCGTTTCCAGCAAAAAGGGTCTCCGGTTCTCTACACTCACCATACGAAACACAGCAGCATTAGGCTACTATTTCATGCTGGTATTCTGTGAGAGCGTGGTCCTTCGCCGGTCGAGCCGACCCATTCGTGCTACGACTGTACTACTAATATAACTGCAGCATGGCTCTACCACTTAGAAATTCTTCCTCAACTTTTTTCATTTTATTCTTCCGCCTCTCACGCTCTCTCACCTCGTACACTCACGGGATGATATGAGGTAGTTAGTTTTCTTACGGCACCACTAAACGACGCACATAATTCATCAATCCAAAGAAATTAATAAGAATATCAAGAAAATTAATTTCCTTTTTACATAAAGTACTTTTTATTCTAATAAATTATTAATTGATTGCGACAGTGATTTTGATTACATTAGTGTTTTCTTTTGTTTTTTAATTTTATAATTGCATGGCTCTAGTTCGCGAGCATTTTATAACATATTAGACGTTTATTGCAATATAAAAATGTAAGAGTTATAACTTCAAAAATGCTCACTTCACGATGATGGTGCAGTGAAGTGAGGTCGGCGTCCCTCCAGATACCGTTATTTCCAGCGTCAGCTCGTCGCCACTGTAAGCGGACAAGTCGCGCCCCGCAACGTACTGCTCTTCGCGCATCCACTGCCAAAGCACTGCTGTTACTCCATACGGCCGCTTCAGCACCTTGGTCACTGTTTTCTTCTGATACTCCTCCACCTTCCCAAACTAGTACTATATTTTGGGAAACAATTTGGCGCTGATGACTGATCACTTTAAATTACATATTAGAATTTTCGTATTACAAAAAAAAAAAAATAAAAGTTAGTAAAACTATATACTTGGAAGCAGCAACACATAAATACCCAGCAACCAAATGAAATCGATCGATAAGTGCACCAAGTAATTAAATAAAAATTATTTGTGTACTTGCTAACATTTGGGAGTTTTAAAAAAAGAGACGGGGTACAAGGCCTTATCTATCAAATGGCTTCAACTTTTTACTATGCAAAAATTGTTTACTAAGGGTTACTATACTACCAAAGAGTAATCGATAATAGCCCCTGGGAATGAGTGGTCGCTACCATGTCGTTTCTAAATGATATTATACTAATTATATAAAACATTACATTATCATTTTTTTAAGTCCCGCTGGGTTTCTTGCTGGTTTTTTTCCGAACCAGTGGTAAAGTTTTAATTACTTTCGGTAAGTAATATTGTAATCTATATTGAATAAATAAGATTCTATTTATTTATTCTAATTTTATTTTATTCTCTTAGTTTTGAAAACTTAATGTGAAACATAGAGGTCACTATTTAAAACATCAAAAAACTATGAAAACTATAATTATACCTGGTGGTTTTGTCCGGACTAATAGTGGAGCAGAAGATGGTGAGGGACCAGCTCTTGAGTGGGCTACTGCTCTGACGGAATATGTGGCTCCACAGGAAAGCGCTCTTAGAATCACACTAGCTGCTTCTCCCCCGGCTTCTAGTCTTCGTTCTTCTTCCCCGCGGGAATTGATTGATTCCAACCCATCAGCAGAATCATCCCGAACGCGTACCCACCAAATGGTAAAACCTACACAAAAGAGTAAATACATAAGAGCACGGTAATATTATCTATATAAGAGTAAGTATGTTATTTTAGTATAATTTATTATAGATGAAATTAGGTATTAGGTAAGTGAATGCTGTGACCTATAGATACCTACATCTTTTTTATAGTATAGGATGACAAACGAGCGCACAGTCCATCTGATGGTAAGTGGATATTGTGGCCCACAGACCTCCTCAATTAACAATCAAAATACAGATGATGAGTGATGCAGAGATCACCCCTGAGGTCTAATATGGAATGCCTCGTTTCCAGTAAAAAGGGTTTCCGGTTCTCTACACTCACCATAAGAAACATAGCAGCATTAAGCTGCTATTTCACGCTGGTATTCTGTGAGAGCGTGGTCCTAGCCCGGTTGAGCTAACCCATTCGTGCTACAACTATAGTATAGCTGCATCGTAGCGCTACCACTACTAAAATCTATCCTCATTCCAGAATTATATGCAGACGATTGTAATCCCTGAGAATTAAGATGTAATTTTAAATTTCTTGTTACTAGCAAAAGGATTACTAGCAAAAGGAATTAAATGTCTTGTTACTAGCAAAAGGAGTCTCCGGTTTTCTTCCCTCACCATACCAAACGCAACACAATTATCCTGCAGCTGTATACAGCTGGTATTCTATGATAGCGTGGGGGATCCCCGGTCAGACCAATATGTTCGTGCTGTAGCTATAGTACAGCTGCGGCGTAGCATTACCAAGTAAAATGCGTTTTGCTAACTTTAATGGTGTCAGCCTTGAAATTGTGAATGCCAAGTTCCTTCTTTATAAATACCATTTATTAAATGAGGCATGGAAAGCAACGATTTAGATAAGTCGGGAAATAATACTACTTAGCATTTATATGCTATTACACGAGTTGCATAAATTGTTAATGCTTTTAACAATAATAATAATAATAATCCATCAGCAACATCCATCTGGTTGGATCTTTATTTATTTATGTATTTTTTGTATTTATTTTATTGATATTTATGTATATTTATCTTTTCTTATATATATATTTATAGAACCCAACCAGATGAGAAAACTATATAGATACCCCAAATAACAATAGACAACACAAAACAGTTATAAAATCATTAAAAAATGTATATTCTTGATTGAGAATCTAAATGGAGATGCGTTGTTACCTTTGAGGATCGAGATCGAATACCTCTTTATTAGTAACTTTTTAATCCCTATGACAGCACTATGATGTTATTTTACACAGGTATTTTATGCTTCTATCACGTATATAATAGCGGACGCACTTATATTATTGCTAGGCGTCAGAAACATTTAAGAGGACTACACCTACACAGATGGATTACTAGGCAGAGAAAAGGTCTACCATCTTGTAAAGTTCATGAAGTAATACTTAGTTGATGAAAACAATAATAAAAAACCATTATTAAGGTAAACTTACCTATTTCCGTGGCATTTTTAATAAAACTCGAATAGAGATCGAAAATTAAGGGTAGGGGAGCTATAGTAGTATAGGTAAGCTTCAAAGGGATACAATAAACCCTTTTGAAGGTTTGGCTATTTTTATCAGAACCACTATTGTTTCTACCCTTGAAATAGATAGTAGGTTTGGCTATAAGATGTTGAATTGTATTCTAAATTAATAAAATATGAAAATAAGTCAAATACAAAGGAAAAGGTTTGGAAGAAAAATTCATGATGTTCATTAATCTACAACCAAAATTATTATCATTTATAAAATATTAATAACCATGATGGGTGATTATTAATATTTTTTAAATTATAATAACCTGACAAGTTTATTTAATTTTTTACTAGCGATCTGCAGTGGCGAAGCTAGGGCTCCAAACTAGGGCAAGCCCAAGATATGGTTTTGTTGTTTTTAGCAGTTTAATACAAATACACCAATCTTGAGCTGTTTCCACTCTTTAGTTTCATATTCAATGCTGTCAAGGACGTGTTTAACAAAGCACACAGAATGCACAATACCGCTAGATATATTGTATGACATATGCAATTGCACACCGGTGGTTTTGAAAAGAGCCGTTTGGGTTGCTTGAGATATTTACAAACAATACAATACATGAACAAAAGAAAAGCAGGAACAAAGTACAAACAAACTATGTACAAAGTTAAAAAAGGTACGCCTGGCAGATGTGAAACCTCGAAATTATTTTGTTAAAGTTATATTGCATAAAAGAACAGATTACGACAGGAATTAGATAGTTATAATGAGAAGATAAAGCTTTGCTAATTTTTTACCATAAAATAATGACTATTTATTATATATATTATTCATTTTCAATTTATAATAAACCGTACAAAATGATATTCAATTCATAATAAACCGTACAAAATGATATTTTAAACTCATATGGTAATATATGTAAATACTAAATTAGCCGATAGCGTATTAGTGCCATCTAGCGTAATCTTTAGATACCATCGTGAGAATCAACCAATTTTCGTTCCATAAAATGACTTTACCTATAGAATTACGTAGATAGCGCTATTAAAATTTTATATACTGGAAATAACTAAAGGGAGTATTCTTTAAAAAACTCAATATATTGTTTGCTGTATTCTTTTGATTTATTACATTAAAATTTGGGCTTCACGTTAAAAAAAGATTGTAACACTTATTTCCAAGGTTTATTTTTTTTTTTTTTGTATATGATTATACTTTAAATACGTCTAATTTAATAAAACTTTAATAATAAAGAGTCCTGTACCTATATTTAAAGTATGAAGAAATGTTTATTGAATATTAAATTTCATTTTTAAAAATTTACCTTTTCCTCGCCGATTAGCACTTCAACTCACTATATTAACACTATTATCCTCCCATTTTCACTGAAAATCTTTGAAAAAGCATAAATTCTTAACAAACACAACAAAAACAAATATAAACATTGAAATGTGAAGTGAACTTGCATACGAATGGCCTGCACCCCATTCGCTAGTCGCTAACGCACTCCTAAACAACTTCAGGGCAAAGCCAGGCTTGTGGCTCAATAGTAATTGCTATATAAACATTTCGTAGTTATATTTTATTATAGAACATTTTACCACAGGTTAGAAAGGGAGCGATCGCCTTCTTGACAGCCCGGTAAAAAGCCCACGCGTGCAAGGGTGAAAACCAAACGCTAAATTCAACTCTCCTTATATGTATGACAGCAGTATTCGTAAAGCTATGAATTCGAACAGAGTGCGCGGGAAATTTGAAATAGTTTGAAACAGTTTACGAGTTATTTTATTACTTGATATAATTGATTGATTCATCTTAATGAGGCAAGCCGGGCTTCTGGGCTTGTATAGAGGCTTCGCCACTGGCTTTCTGCCCCGGTTTCGCACAGGTTATGTCTGGATTATACAAAAGCGCCACCTAACGGGATCAACGGAGTTTTTAAACCATCCAGGGATATCGATCTCAAATATACGTTAAAAATTAATCAGAATCGATCGCGCTATTTTCGAGTTTTTGCAAGCCTAATAATTGATTTTTATTTAATAGAAAACTCTAAACTGCAGTTGATTTTTATTTATAGAAATATTGTAATTAATTAATTGACAAAGTGTTATTGACCAATTTTGATTTTCCTTCACAAACTCTAAAGCAAGAGCAAATTTTACAGAATTGCTGCACTATTATGTAGGTATGTGAAAATTTGCAGCATCAACATCAGCAACAGCAGCAATCCATTATCATAATCAATATATATATATATATATATATATATATATATATATATATATATATATATATATATATATATATATATATATAAATATAAATATAAATTAATGTAGTGGAGAATTATTATCCATAAATGTTTACAACTACATACCTGCGTTATTGATTATGCGCGTGTATACACCGTACCGTATACAATAAGGTGATCAACCTTATTTTGACCTACTACGGCTGAAATATTTGGCACCTAATGCCGCAGTAATTTCAAGGCGGATTTTCGCCTTGATTTTTTGAAAAAAAAAATGTGCATTCGATTAAAAATATAATCCTTGAAATAGTTTAACTAAAATAATTACATACACGTAACAAAAATAACCAAAAATTCACTATTTACAGAAACATGGTTTTCACGTGCACAAGGTCCAAATCGTTTGAAGTGTGGGTTCAGACCAGCTGCTGACGCAAAGTTAACCAATTATATTAAAACGTATACTTAGTACTTACACATTACTACAGACCTTTGATGATATAACTACGCAAAGTCGTATTATCAATTTAATAAGAGATACCCCGCAATATGGTGCCAATTTTAAAACCCCTCGGAATAATCTAACTTGAAATAATATTCAAATAAAATTTGTTTTAAAAGCTGACCGTGTGGTGGAGCAGCTGGGTGGTGTGTTGTCCGCCAAGTGAGTTTTGCTTCCTTATGTGCTGCGTGGTCCAATGTAAGGGTGGGAGCGGATGGCGGGGATGCACATTCCACGCGGTATGTTACTTCTTCCGATCCAAAAGCATTACGAGCTGCACACGTGTAATTTCCGCTTGTGGCTGCGTCTACTTCTGTTAAAATATTTAAAAGAATACTATATTGAAAATATTAAATTAATTAATGGATTTATTCTGATAATATACACATACTTCTTATCATTATCGGTCTCTGTTTCATAGCACTTAATTAATGGGTGATTGTAAATATTTATCACAGTAGGTAAAGGTTACGTAAACGTTATGATCACCACACACGGTCAGTTCAACTGATCATTCCAACTGACCAGTTCAAACTAAAACTGTTGATATTTAATGATTTCTTAAATTTACGCGAACACTACTCATTGAATAAAACTATTATTTACGGATTTTATCGCGTTTAATTACTTTAATTTATTTTTATTATTATCCCGACGTTTCGGGTGCTTTACAGCACCCATGGTCACGGGTGTTAAAGCACCGAAACGACGGGGATAAAATCCATAAATAATAGTTTTATTCACTGTTGATATTTCTTAAAATGATTTTCGATATATCGATAAATAAACTTACATATAAAACTCCGATATTGATATATTTATAATTATCAATATATCGATAATTCAATATTTAAAAAAATATCAACAGTTTGAGTTTGAACTGATCAGTTGGAATGATCAGTTTAACTGACCGTCCATTAGTATAACAAAAAATTACACGTCAAATGATATGGTAAATTTTAAAATATGGGCTTCAAGTTGAAACTTTTAACTTTGAACTGAAATAACAAAACAGAACCTTACAATAAAATTGATTGAGGATAATATATTGGATGGCTTCTAATGAAATTATAATGCCATAGAGTGTAATCAATCGTCATTAGCGAAAATGGCAACTCGGATTAACCACAACTTTATCACAATAAGTTTTACGATCGAGTCAGAAAGTCCCAACTTTTTTTATTAACATTTATATCGCAACTACAAGTATAGCTCTAGTAAAGCCGTTTCAAAATAATTGATATTATTAATTGTACATCTTTAAAAAAAAACAACAAAGATTTTTTTCTTTCTTCTTTCTGTTTCTCCTAAGAATCCTCGTTCCTAAAAATCAAGATTAGTTACTCCATTATACATATGTTGTTACTTCTATTAAGATGTTTTTCTGCTAGTAAAATACCCACGCTGTTCCATTAATTTTAAATAGCATTTATTATGTACCAATTATCAGTACCAGCTCCTTCCACTAGACCGCATCCAGCGCAGAGCGGCTCGAATCGTCGACGACCGAGTGCTTTCCGATCGGCTCGATTCACTGGCGCTGCGAAGAGATGTTGCATCTTTTTGCGTATTTTATCGCATCTATCACGGAGAGTGCTCTGAGGAATTGTTCGGATTAATCCCAGCTGCCAAATTTCGTGAACGCACTACACGGCAAACGTCCCTATACCATCAACACCATCTGGATGTTTGGTGGTCCACCACTGTACTTTTCAAAAGGAGTTTTCTTCCGCGTACGACCTCTCTGTGGAATAGTTTACCACCGGCGATTTTTCCGGACCGATACGACCTTGGGGACCTTCAAGGAAAGAGCTTACTCCTTTCTAAAGAGCCGGCATTGCACCTGCAATTCCCCTGGTGTTGCGGTTGATCATGGGCGGCGGTATTCACTTAACATCAGGGGAGCCGCATGCTCGTTTGCCCCCTGTTCAATAAAAAAAATTATGAATCCTCACCACGTATAGAAAGATGTCCATGTGGCGTCAAATGCGTACGTGGATCGTGTGTGACGGGTCGATCGCCACGAAGCCAACGTGCTCGTGGTGCGGGCTCTCCGCGCCATGCACACGCTAGTCTCAAGGGGTTGCCGCATTTTACACGAGCCCATACACCGAATGCCAGCAGCCTGACCGTTGCTATGACAGAAGTTTATTTCCAGATTAAAGTTTTTGGACGTGGTAGAGCCATGCTGCAGTTATATTAGTAGTATAGTAATAGCACGAATGGGTCGGCTCGACCGGTAAAAGACCACGCTCTCACAGAATACCAGCGTCAAATAGTAGCTTAATGCTGCTGTGTATCGTATGGTGAGTGTAGAGAACCGGAGACCCTTTTTACTGGAAACGAAGCATTCCATCTTAGTCTTCACGGGTAACAAATCTGCATTTTGATTGTAATGGGATAGATGTAGATGTCTATGGGCCACAGCAACCACTTACCGTCAGGTGGACTGTGTGCTCGTTTGTCACCCTATCCTTTAAAAATACATAATGTACGAAACTTATTTATTAAATTTTCAACAACATTAATTATTTAAATAATTATAGTTTTTAGACCTACCTAGCGAACTATTTGACACTACATCGATTAAAAAAGGAAAAAAGATACAGAAAAAAAGCAAACACAGGAATATAATATTCTTTTTATTCGTCATTAACCCGTAAAAGTCTCTTAAAATTTGCCAGAATTTTCCTTAAACACTAACAGGCTACTGCCAACGCAGTAATGATAACAAGCGGCCACTCTCAACGGATAGAAACCAACGCGGGATACGAATGTACGACACGAGTATACGCAAGCACCGGTACACTCTCTATTACGTCAATGTCATATTCCATGGGGACGGCGATTCGTCACGACCAGAGAGATCAGGTCCAAAACCAGCGGCCTTAGGTGCTTTCCGTGGCACACGTGTGAAACGTCGCCTACTTCCGGACCGGGTTGTTATTGTGAATTTATTGGTATAAAAATGCAATTACTGCTTTTAATTTGACCCCTTGACATTCGAACCCGGTATCACATGATTAGCAGTAGAACTGCAACTACTGGACCGACGAGGCAGTCCAACGTACCTTTGACACTGCTCTCCTTCACTGGTCTATACATTTTACATCGGAGGTAAATGAGTCGGTTATTCCGCCATCTATCGGAACCCCTGAGATATTTTGGCATATCCTCGACATCCACGGGCCGAAATGGGTTGAACGATTCTCTTACGCCGCGACCACACTGCTTATAAAGGAAACTATTTCATATAATGTAATTCCTTCTTAGATTCTTCAGCAGATCTACGCTGACGTCACTATACCGGAACGTACATGTGCGCTCGCCCAACAGCTACATTAAAACTACTTTTTATACTCGTTTTAGCTCATGTCTTAGCTATTTTGTATTATCTCAGCAGTAAATATATGGGACTAATAGAAACAAAGAAATTAATTCTAATTACATAGTTTATTATTGATGGCTATAATTGAACTTTTTCTCGACACAAGAAACAGCTTTTATTATTAATAAATAAAACACTATTTTTTTATGAAAATTAAACACGGGTAAGAATCATATCATCCTGCAATAATGACATGAGTTATTTATATTTAGAGTAGTTGTTTAAAATTTCATATTAAAAAAGAATCCGCACAAACAATAATACATTTGAGGAAATAAGCTCATGTGAAGCGATGACTTCGCATATCACTACAATTTGACTTCACGTTTTAATAATTATAAATCGCCTACCTCTTGATGTCGTTGTAGCTGGTTGAGGCGCAGACGGTTCACCTTCACCTGCCACTGAGTGAGCTGCGACCCAAGCTTCATACGTAGCACCCTCTGATAGAGATCTTAGTTCTGTTGATCCCCCCAAGCCCACCGAAGATTCAACGTCTTCCGCTTGAATAGTTGTAGTTTGTGGTGGTCGGTCCCTATTTAGACGTTGTATAAAACGTAAGCATATTTTAATAGAACATAGCTAACTAATTATAAATTTGAATTATTATTCATAATACCTGCCAAGTTCACGGTAGAAAATAGTGTAATATAGAATTGGTCCATTGGGTCTACTTGGCGGTAACCAGCTAACCGCTAGCGAAGACACCGACGTCGCTACAACTTTAACCGCAGCTGGGGGCCCGGGAACTACAAAGAAGCACAATAACATAAAATTATAAAATATTGGAATTTTTTTAAGATTGATTAAATTTTGAGAAATTACTTCAAAGCTCTTACCATCTTGATGTGTGGTGCAATGGATAGGATGAGCGGGAACACCATCCCCAAGCCGAAGTATATGCTAAAGCCTGTATTGTGTAGTTCATGTGCGGTCTAAGAGCAAGCAAAAGCGTTTCAACACCCGACACCCGTTTCACTTCCGCTCCCGCTACAGCACTTTGACCACCACCGCCACGTACCTCCCACTCCAGCCAATCTATCGCTGCCGACAAACAACTGCCATCACTTAGCTTAGATTGCAATAAATAAAGTTACTTTTATGGATTTTATTCATTCATTAATTCATTACAGTGTATCAACAGTTCACTGTTGAACATAGGCCTCCTCCGTTGCCTCCTCCGTATTGGCTCTTAGGGGCCATAGTAGACTCGCTTGGAAGGTGGGTTCGCGACCACATTTTCTTTATTATTTTGAGTTATTATCAAGAGGATGTTGCCGTACAGTTCCTGTATCTTTTAGTAAGGTTTTAAATTTATAAAATAGATTCACTTTTGTCACATTTTATCGCTATGATTAAACTTAAGTATTTTTTTAATTATTCAATAAATTATAGTTCTATTTAATGAATCTGTTTTATTAGATTACCAATCGACACGCTAAGAAGAATAAGGAGTAGTATTAATAACAATATATTTATTTAATGCTTCATGTAACTCACTATGTTCAGGACGATACAGTAGCTTGTACCCAAGTAAAGCTCCATGGTGAGCGTGTGCTGGCGGTGGTGACCACTCGACTTTTAGACTTTGTGGTGATACTGCACGACATCTCACTGCCCGTGGACCTTCTGTTGGTACTTCAAACACAAAGAGACACGAAGTTTAATATATTTCTGAAATGTTTCGTCTACCATCTCTAACTGTAATAATCATAAGGTAAACCACTTTGCATAATCTGCAAATTTTTGTTTTCTTTCCGTTCGCATTCACATTGAATTTTATAATTTTATAACAAAAATGTTTTCAATACGGTATGTTCAACGGCATTTATTCAAAGGTTCCCATTTCTGAAATACCTCATAATGGAATTTATACGAATTTCGCAACTGGCCGCGGAGGTCAAGAATATTTAGCCGCTGAGAAATTTGTAGGCTTAAAAGATAATTTAAGACTTGACTTTTAGCCAGACGTTATTTTAGTTAGGAGTTAAACAGCAGTTATTATTTCTTATATTTACACAAACACTACACTTGTTTGTTTAATTAACTTATTTTTAATTCCCTGCGTTTCCCAGGCGGGGGGGAGGGGACTGGGATGTTTATTGAAATTATTATTCAAAAACTGTAGGTAGCTGAGCTAACTTGACATCGGCACGTCAAATATCTCTGCTACCCCCCCCCCCAGTGGGTGTTGTAGAGCATCTGAAGCGTCGGGAATTAAAAACACGTTAATTAACCACGATACAATTCAATAGTGTCAAATTTTTCCAAACATTAATCATATTGTAAGTAAGTAGATAGACTTACCACTTTCTTGCGTCAAAGTATTTACAGGGGCAGTAGCTGGACCTGCTCCAGCACTGTTGAATGCTCTAACGCTAATAGAATATCTGCAACAGATAAACAATTAAAACGATTTAAAATTCTAAATGTAAGCCGTACTTTGAAACTTTGTTAGATCTATAACTTGATATTATTTTAAGTTATTTTTGAATAAATCACGAATACCATTTATATTACTAACCTTATAAAGAACTAAATAGACACCTCAATTTCGTTTCCAATATAATTACAATAACTACTACTCTGAGGGTGAATTTCCAATCAAATTATCATTTTTGTTGTTATAGTTACTTACCGAGTGTAGTGTTCGAGACCTTCAATAGTGTATTTGTTGATTTGACCTCGGACTGTTGCAAATTCCATGCCGACATTGGCGCCACCTGATAGAGATCCATCGGCAGACGGCCACCACCACACTGTATATCCAAGTAGCTCACCATTCCAAGACGAAGTAGGTGGAGCCTAAAAACCAACATTGGGAACTGTAAAATAATTTAGCATTTCTCTGCGTGAGTACTACGATTAGCAATACTGACACTGGAGTTAAATTAATGTTGAATTATTTATTTTATACGTGGTAGAGCCATACTGCTATGCTAAACTATATTATTATATAGTTTTAGCACAAATGGGTCGGCTCGACCGGGGAAGGACCACGCTCTCACAAAATATCGGCGTAAAATAGCAGCTTAACGCTGCTGTGCTTCATGTGATGAGTGTAAAGAACCGGAGACCCTTTTTAATGGAAAGGAGGCATTCCATCTTAGCATCTGCATTTTGTTTTCGTAAACGAGGATAGATGTAGATGTCAATGGGCTACAGCAACCACTTACCATCAGGTGGACTGTGTGCTCGTTTGTCACCCTTATTCTATAAAAATAAATGAAAAATAAAAGAAATCGTCAAGGATGCGTTTCTTTCCCTCCTAACTATGAAATGTCTATTTGTTTAACGATTGTTCTTATAATTTTTTGGTTCGAATACTGCGAAATCGGTTTTAATAAAAACTTGATTAGATTTTGACTATCAAATTAAGCGGAATATAATTTATATGACATATGGTTATATAGTTATGCTATCAGATATCATAACTTTGTTCTACAGCCAGATAATGAAGATCCTGTAGTCTTCTTTTTTTAAAAATTTGCAGAAGTTGTTTGTGTTTAAACCCTTTCCCCGGTCCTATGAACTATATATGAACATTCAAATTGTTTAACTATTGTGTCTATTTAGTGGACAGGAAAATTGTTAAGCTTCAACTTACCCGCAGGTGGATTTCATTTTAAAAGTCACTTTCGTTTTGAATGTACAAGAATTGGATTATGAATATTTTTTTAATACCTGCCATGTCAATTCAACTGTGGCAGGTCTTTGAGCAGATGCTCGAAGACTGATCGGCGCTCGTGCTGGTGGCTCGTGTAAAGTCAAAGCAAGGAGTGCCCGGGTATGAGACGAAGCAAATTGTGCTGTTACAGTTCTTGCTCGCACTAAATAAGCAGTTGCTGGTTCCAGGCCGGATATCGTTGCACCTTCCACTCTAAAATACAAAAAAGTTATAACTCCTTGTTGCACAACTAATTTAACATCATGAAAATATAATTTTATTTCTTCATTAATAGCCAGAGCTTAAAACTAGTTCTAAATTTTGTAAACAATTATAAATTTTGTAACAGTTCTCCAATTAGGTTCTAATAAAGGTTTCATTTTCGGTAGGGTTTCGGCTATGGTTGTTTTTATTGGGGCAAAACGGAGGGGAGGGGCGGAGCGGGTTTTTTTTGCCTTATTTTTTTAATTTAAAAAACTATTATTTTTTTTTTTTTTCTTTTATTTAATTCAAAAAACTTATAAACTCTTATTTTAAAAAAAAAGGGGGGTGTGTTGGCGCTACTTGTCTTTTCGTGTTTTGCAAGGTCGCGGTTTTAAAATATCGTTTCCAAAATACTATTTTCTTTTGATTTCAAGTCTAAGGTTAAAACATTTCTTATGTTGCTTTTTAGTTTTTCTATCTTGAATTACATGATAAAACAGCAATGAACTTGAAATTTTCTATAATACAGGTGTAATTTGAAAACACAAAGAAACTTACTCTGTATAGGTATCTGTTGAATGAGCAGACACCGATACATTGTGAGTATCAGCATCTCTCCAAGAATCAGGATTAGTGGAATCATGTTTCCGATACTGAACCACGTATCCGAGCACTGGAGAGTTTCCATCATACGGTCGACGCCATTGTAAACGAACTGTACGAGATGTTGTTTCCAATACACGAAAATTGGCAGGAGGTTCCGGTGGCTCTGCAAATAATTATATTTTTGTTTCAATTTAATTTCATACGAATGTTTCGTTTTAATTTTTATTTTATTAGTCGGCCCATACCTTGAACACCGAGATGAACAAAATGATCAGAACGGCCATATGGATTCGATGCTTGACATCGGTAAACGCCCGAATCTCTTCTGTCGGCTCGTTCTAAAACTAACTCACTTCTCAATCCTTCTGCGCTTCGTGTTTCAGAAATACTCATTCTAAAAAGGAGTATATTATTCAAAAACTAAAACGGATAGCAGGTGCTTTTTAATAAAAAAAAAAAAACAATCCACGTACCTATAATCAGAATTTGGAAGGACGCGTCCCGAGCTACTCCATGTTATTGACAGAGGATTGTCCCCACGTGCTACACATGCAAGTCGAACAGTATCCCCAAGTTTTGCTGTCACATTAACTGAAGGTGTTTCAAATCGCGCAGGTTCTAATAAATATAATTATAATTAAAGTAATTTTTAAAGTTGGTATAATAATAAAAATAAATACAGTACTTTTTACCATTAACGTGTATAGTGAGTGTTTTAGATAATGCTGGGGGAACTCCGTTATCTGCTCTACAGCGATACCGTCCTGAATGTTCAGCTCGAGCTGATTCTAATCTTAATGAACCATTATTCAGCACAACTGGATCGGATACTCCACCCATTGTGGTTTCTGTACTACCTTATAAATAAAATGCAGTATTAAAAGATCATGACTGTCAATTAAAAATAATTGCATTATTGGTTTTATATTTATCATACCAGAAAATTTAGTCCAGTAGATGGTAGGCTTGGGGTGACCTCGAGCTTCACAACTTATAGTGAGAGAACCATTTAGCAAAACAGCACTGTCTGACGGTTCAAGTTGCCAGTACGGAGGAACTGTCAAAGAAATATGATCCAATTTAAGTACTACGGTGAAGCAAAATAAAGAAAATTCAGTTAGTATTAAATGTTTATTATGTTACCTTTTATAGCCAATTCAGCCGACGTATTCGCTTTACCAGCTGTATTCGTAACGACACACGTATAAGTGCCACTGTGAGCTGCTGTTAAACTTTTAAATAAAAGCATACTGTAAAATTCTGCTCCACGTTCGTCAACCTAAAATCAAAATAAGAATTGTGTTTTAAAATCATTTAGAAGTATTTTCGAATAGTAACTTCAAATTGAAAGGTGAGATGTTACCTGCAGTACACTCGATAAAGGCATCTGATCTTTCAGCCATGAAAAATAAACAGGCATATCACCGGACGTTACAGTGCAAGTCAACTGAGCTCGGTCGCCTGATCTCAAGCCAGGTGGAAACACTATCGGGGACAGGACAGGCGGTGATACAACTGTTACTTGCACCTAAACGTAATGAAAATTTTAATTTTTTTAAATAAAAAAGCAAAAGTTATATTATAATCATTTTTCGAAAATTTGCTTAAAAATAAATTATAGAATAGACTAAGGTAACGTAACGTACCTCTCTTCTCGCTAACTCTCCTCCCGGAGTTAAAACTGAACATATCCAGCCTCCTTTATCCCTATTACGGTCCACATTTGTAATTGTGAGTTGACCGTCAACTTGATGATACCGTGGGTCGGCTCCAGCACCACCTTCCCACTTTACTGACCTGTAATTCATCAACGCGACGGTCCACAGAACAATACTTTTAATTAGAAAAAAAAATTAAAGCGTACCTTTTAATTGTATTTTAATTTAATGGTACTAAGTTAATATTTTAATAACAATGATAAATCTTTTTTGTGTTAAACGTATCAGCATATTCATGAAAATATCGTAAATCATGGATTACTAGTATTACTAAGATCTTGGCGTAAGTACGTGTTCCTCATCACCATATATATGTATGTAACATGTAATAATTAATGTCACAGATGTAGTTTACTCTTCATTTTATAGGTCATACTAATATTTATTTATTTAAAATAAAATTTCTAACTTAAAGGTCATTTATGTGTATATAATTAACTTCCCAGTGAGAAATTATTGTATTGGGTCCGATTTTGCAAATTGGAAACTTTAATATATCTCCACATTTCAAGGTCTTTAGAGTCGAATAGTATGGTTTTTAAGAGGATCTCCGTGTGTGAACATGTACGTATGTATGTATATTCAGATTCAATTTTCGCCTCGTGTGTCTCGAGAACAAAGAGTGATATTAACATGGGACCAGTTTCATTTAACGCATAATTATGTAACTTAGACCTCATTAAATTCTGAGCAAAATCGGTCAAGTCGTTTTTTGTGCCGAATGAAAAATTGTATAAAATATTAAAACATATGATATTTTTTTATTCTTTCCACTGGGAAGTTAGTCGTGTGGACCTTTCGGGTCACACCTAGACGGCTTTTTTAAAATGTACAATTTTTTTTTTGATATTTTGCTATAACATTTAACTAAATATGTATGTACTAAAAAAACATATGACAGGACAAACTCTTTAAATAGCGTTTGATAATAGATGTTTTAAAAAGACGCGTATTTAATATTCATATTACATAAATCAATGAAGTAGGCAATCCAAGTGTCTTGAAAAGCACTTTACAAGATTGTATCGACGGAGCTCTGCGTACACAAACTGCATATTTATTGCCTAACACATACGAGTATCTAGATATTTCCTATGATTTAGTGCCGCTTTATAGTTAATTAAGGGAAATGTAAATATTTTATAAATCACGCAACAATATTAAATAGTGAATGTAAGTATATTTTTATACACTTACTCTATCGGGAATCCATAATATGGGCACCAGATAGTAATTTCCGATCCCGCAACAGCCTTAACGGGATTCATTGCTCGGATATATGGAGGTCCTGCATGAAAAAATTTCTTATTTAATAGAAAACAGCGTGGGATTTATCTCGTCAACAAAAAATCATAATACTTGAAAGAAGTAGAGTGTTTTTAGACATTTCGATATTGGTAATGATATGCGGCATAAAACGTCGACTAATTACTATTGATGCTTTTAATAAATTATACATACCTATTATATAATATCTCTTTTATTCAAAGTATAATGAGTAACTAATAAATTATTTTTGATTTATTTTGCACTTTAGGATGATATGCTTTAGGTACTGATGAGATTTGTGCGAATAATGAATATGTATAGTACTTAAGTAAATGTTTTATGTAGATGCTTTTATCTAAATATACTCTTTGGAAACAAAATGTGTAATAATATTATATTTTAACTTAAGTTTATTACACTTTAAAAGTCTTACCATATACGTTCAAGCGTGCTGCGTGAGCTACGGATCCGTGGCTATTTGTAGCACGGCACTCGTACCGACCTCCGTGTTCAACCCTAGCACTGCTCAGTGATAACGTGGATAGGATGTAGTTGTTACTGGAACCTATTCCGGTAGGTCCACTTTCATGGCCTTCACTTATAACAGCCCTGGAAACAAAATTATGTTAGTATGTACAGTAATTACAGAAAAAATGGATGCAGCTGGGGTTTGATCTACCTTTACTATGGCCCCGTTTGCAGAGTAATTAAAAGTTTGATTTAAAATATAAGCCATAGAATCGATTGTAACATGTCATTCAGATTTTAATATGAAGAAATTAAGCGTCCAATGAAATTGGTTCAAAGACTACATTATAAGTTTTTAGTAGAGTTTTTCGGGATGACGAACAACACTAATGTACGCCGAGTTTCATAACTCACACAATAGACATCATTTTAAAAACAGTAGAATCGGACTATAGGGATCTCAAAACGTGGAGATACGTTAAAAATTGATCTTTCTATCGTTGGAGCGATTACAACTCTCAACAGTCTCTCCGGACAGTCAATGAGACAAAAATAATTATGCAGTATTAAAAAATCATATTATTTTTTAATACTGGTTTGGTAGGTTTGGTCATGTAGAAAGAATGAATGAGGAAAGAGTGACAAAGAAAATTTATATGGCAGATGTGAACGGCAGAGTCGGGAAGGGACCTAGAAGAAAGTTTATCGACCAAATTGGCGATATTTTGAAAATGGGCCACATTAGAACTACCCTTAACCGACGAGCATGTATGCGTAGATGTATGGATGTAAAGGAGGCGAAAGAGGTATGTCAGGATTGTGCCAAATGAAAGTCCGTAGTCTCTGCCTACCCTTCTGGGTCAGGCGTGAGTGTTTATGTACGTATTATGATTTTTTTACTAAATATAAGCCAGTGCTACGATGCCATCTGGAGGCAAGCATTGAAGAAGCCTTACATGCTATATCACACTATCTTATTGTAACAAAAGCCTATTCACTTTAGTTTTGAAGACACTGACGTTGTATTGGGACGGAAAGACTGACGCCGGAAAATTATTTCACTCCCTTGATACACGCATCACAAAGACGAAGAAACGTTTGGTTTGAATGCGTGGAATATTGACAACAAAGGTGTAGGTAGAGACCCGCCGACAGCCTGATTGTTCGATGGCGGAACGGGGAGGGGGGAATTAAATAACGTAATTCCCTTTGTAGGTGTTCGGTGATGACGTCACACACCAAAACTTGACGAACAAATAGAAATGATCACGTTCAATATTACACGCCCACACACATTTTATGCGCATGACTATGAGTGCAAAGATATTATTTTTATTTATTTTTTCTTCTTTAAAAAAAATAAAAACGTTACCCCTACACTAGGATTTTCTCCAGTATCGTGGGGGCAGTCTACAAATATAAATTGCACCATCACAAACATCCAGACCCGGAACAATTATTTGTAGGCCATACAAATACTTGTTCCCTGCGGGATTCGAACCCGCGACCCCCAGCGCAGCCAATCATTGCTAAGCCACTGCGCCACGGAGTCGTAAAATTGATTATTACATCGTTTAGACGACTTTAAACAAATTATGTGTTTTTTGTACGTATGTTACGCAGTATCTTCGTCATTTATATCCATCAAGCATACCCGTGATGAGGTGGAATTAGTTGTCCATCCAATGTCCATCTGAATCTAGGTGGTGGTTCTCCAACCGCTGAGCATTTTAACGCAACCTGTGCTCCAGGCTGAACTGCTTGCTCGATAAAAGTGTAAACCAATTCTGGTCTTGAATCTACAAAAGAAAGGCCGCATTAAATTTGATAAATATGAATTGCTACAATATATCAAAGAAAAGAAAACTTTCTCACCCGGAGACCGTTTTAAACGCTTTCGCCTGAGCGACCGAAATCCGCCCGCTTTCTTCACTAATGAGCACCGTATAACTGAAATTTAAATATAAAGGGAATAACATTATTCACACCCGCCGTTACGTTTTCAAAGAGAATGTTTCCAAAAAGAATTCACTTTGTGACTGAACAGTAGGAATTTAACCTAGTTTGGTGTAGGTAACAACGTGCTTAAACTTCGTGGTCCGCTCCGCTGTTAAACGTAATATTGGGATGACGAGTTTGATAAGGTTTCTTTTTTATAATTACGATTTTCGATAGATTTTTAAGATATCGCTATTTATAATTTAAATAATAATAATTTTTAGACCAGATTTAATATTTTTAAGACATTAAAACTGTTTAATTTATGCAAATAGAAAAATTAACAGTATTACATTAATTTTTTAAGATAAATTATTGTACGACGATTACAAACAATTATTTCTAAAACGCTTCTAAGAAAAATGTTCTGAACATCCAACCTAATGTGTTGGATTTTATTCTTCCGGTATAGATAATTCATTTCAAAATAAGAGAATATTATCAAATAATTTTTAAAATATTTCCTCCTATATATCCCTGTATACCAGCGGTGCAATATTTATATGTAGGCATATAAGTGTCCTAATGACTCTCGAAAACAGCACGTAGACGCGGCAACTACCGGCATGGGTGTGACATGGACATTAAACATGATCTTAATTTTGTCCATGTTCATCCCAAGACCGATCCGTTGGGAGACACCATTGAGGTCATTGAGCATAGTGCTTAGGTCCTCCAGCGATTCCACCACAAGGACTATATCGTTGGCAAAGCGAAGGTGAGTGATGTAGTCGCCATTAATGTTATTACCGTATCCTTTCTATTCCAGTAGCTTGTAAACGTCTTCCAATGCAGCGGTGTAAAGTTTCGGGAATGTAACGTCACCGTGTCTTACAACTCTCTGCAGTTGGATAGGTTTCGAACTCTGGTTTTGTACTCGGATAGCTATATATATATATATATATATATATATATATATATATATATATATATATATATATATTTTTATAAATATTAATTAATGTTATTATAATAAAAATATTTGTTTAAGAATAAGGGTGACAAACGAGTACACAGTCTACTTGGTGGTTAGTGGATGTATGCTGTGGCCCATATACATTTACACCCATCCTTGATTAAGAGTCAAAATGCACATGCGTTGTCACCCCTGAGAACTAAGATCAAATACCTCCTTTTCAGAAAAAAGGGGTCTCTGGTTCGCCCATTCACTATACGAAACACAGCGGCATTAAGGTGCTAGTTTACGCTGGTATTCTGTGATAGCAGTTCGTGTTACAATCATAATAAAGTTGCAGTGTGACTATACCACGCAAATTATTGATTATTATTATTATTAGAGACACATTTGATTATTATTAAAAAGAAAAAGAGAAACATTTAATATCCAAATTTTTGACCCACTTTAGCTTTAATTTTAGTTGCAACTCTACCGTGGAAACTGCGAACAATAGATTTCATAAAACGAGCTTTGATGTTTTAGAAAGAAAAAAAAAACAAAGTATGTCCCATTCTCCCTGTTGCCCGCCGGGGGTAACCACCTCCACAAAGATGGATGCCAAAGCGGGAAATATCCGGTGAACTATTTCAATTTAGAAAGTTTCCTTTTGGTGAAGTAACTGTTCAGGATTGTTCCGAAAGGGGCTCAAAAATTGGCTTCGGATTTAGCATTAACGTATTGTTTTTGAACAATTGTTTTATATTTGTACGAAATGTGTCTAGATACCACCAACATTCAAATTTAAGAAAACTTAAATAAAATCCGTTGGTCATGAGTTCAAGAGAATTCAAGAGAAAATATCCTGGTGATCCTGATTACGACACTAGAATAAATTTAGTAAAAATTATCGTATTGTCATCGGTCAAACGTAAATTTTCAAGTCAATCGGCCGTCTACAAGATTGTGAAAATAACATAAAAAGATTCCATTACATAGATAGATACGTATTAAAAACTAATGTAATACAAATTTTTTTCAGCAATACTTTTTTTAAATACTTACTATTTGTGACCGGCGATGAAAACGTACAAGTCAGTGGTTACAAAAAACATTATTTTCTTCATCTTTAAACATACAGTTCAAAACAGTCCCTTGTTAGACTTGTACTTCTCTTCGTGTTGGAACGTTTTGCCGTAATTAGTAACTACCACGCTGGTTAAGTGGATTGGCGTTCGCAGTACTAGATGTCTCGTATTTTTGACTCTGATTCCCGTCGAACAGTTACATTATTTTCGGTAATATGAATGCAATATTGTTTAAATTAAATAAAAACTGTATGAAGTGATAAATAATATTTCTATAAATAAATAATTCTAGGTGGGATTTATTTTGGTCTATGAGCTTGTTGTTTGAAGTTAACAGCAGGTGTCTTTGAACTCCAGTAACTACTTATCATCAGGTGGATTTTATGTTCGTTTATCACTTCAGTTTAATATTTAAAAAAAAAAACCATAAAACCACTACGTTTAAATTCAGTTGGATATTATGGAACGAAAGACATACAAATATAAATATGATACTATCGAATCTATAACATACATAAATAACGAAAATGTCAACTGTATTAAAAGAAAATCATGAAACTGACGAAGTCATAGCATGGTAAAACAGCTCTTTTATTTATATGTTTTTTATTATTATGAAATCGTTTAATTCTAAATCTAATATTTTGAGATGTTATCAAGAAGTTGCGGCTGCCCATCTCCAGTTCCAGTTTCCCTCAGTGGCCTCTTGCGACACCCGTGGGATAACATGCGGCAGTGGATGTGCTTATACCGCCACTACATGCGGTACATGATTCATCGGTCACCATGAAAATTGGTATCTATGTATTTCTCGATGGAGAAGGCTTATATTTCATAAACTAAAAAAAAATTGAAAAAAATTTGAAACAAACAAAATTTTAAATTTTTGATTTTATTTCCTATTTTTCAATGAAGCGCAGTATTTTTTCATAAATTAAATTACAGCCGACTCTTGTTAATTCGAAACTCGAGGGACTCTTAAAATATTACGAATTATCGAATGTTTGAAATATCAAATGTTTTTTGCAAATATCAAATTTTGAGAGAAAATAAACAAAACTTCGAATTATTAATTGTTGATCAATTCTTATTCATTAACTGCTATTCTTTAACAATGACAAAACTTATAGGAAAGTAAGTAAGTAAAAGGAAACTTAGAGGTACATTCGCATACATATTCATAGTGTGAATTAATTAATCTTTCGAAAGAACTCTGTTATACTGGTTTGCTTCAAAGCACATTATTGCTGCTCAGACTGCTCAATAACTTTTTAAGAGGAAAAAGTTCCTGAAATGCTTTTTCATCACTTTCGTTTTTAAGACAGAAGCTTTGTAAGGTATCGGATGAGACTCTTGCTTCCTTAACTGAAACTTCTGCCAAAGGTTCTGACTTCTGATGTATCGTCGAAACGATGATACAAGTTTGAACTTGTCTCAAAATGTACTTACAAATTACAATCTTTCTGTCTCTTTCTGTCTGCAACTTTGAATTGTCGAGTGTTTGACGCCAATGAGTTCGAATTATTTTTTACGCGGCAATGATTTTTTCGTTCGAATTACCAAGTGCATAAACATGTATTGAGCTAGTTCGAAATATAAAGTGATTTTGTAGGGAACTCGTGATGACTTTGAATTATAGAGAGGTTCGAATTATCGCATGTTTGAATTAACGAGAGTCGACTGTATATGCGTTAAAATAACCTTGCTGAACACAATCTATGATATTTATAATATTGAACTTTTTAGGAGTATATATGTTAATTTAAAAAAGTATAAATATAATCATTAATAAGATAACATAAAGAGTATCTAAACTCTTTGACAAGGATCACTCTCAGATAGAAAGATTTACCGTATTCGCTAAGTTTGTCATTTGGTAGCTGTACCATATGACTTGCATTTTAGATTCTAGTTCTTATTAATTTTCAAAATATTAAGTCTGGCTTATTCACCGATTTTAGCGGCATCTTTGTAGGAAGTTCTTTCATGAGATTTGTCTAGAATCTACCCAAGTTGACAAATACAAAACCCATGGAGGGAGAGAAGATGGGATGGATAATGAAATTCTTCTACACCGATATTAATCAAATTAATAACTGCATATTTTAAAAATGAATCGATTCTGGTCTTTTTGCGCTTAGTTACGTTTTATAATAAATTTACAAAAAAAAGTATACGGATCAAGAGTAGAATAAGAGAATTTAAAGTAAGATGTAAATTTTTGAAGCAGCAAAATAGACTCTTGTATAACAACCGTTATTTCGGATTATGAAAAATGCTTTTGAGAAACGTATGTTCGAAGATATTACTATTCTGAACGTCCGACTATGCATAATAAATTCCCCAAGCGATCTTCAATGTTTTAGGTCACTGCATACAGTGCTACATATGTAAAAGTAAATCATGCTTTTAAGAGAGCGGATAGATCTATTGTTAGTTTCGATTTATCATATGGTATATATATATACCACATAACTTAATCAAATATTATGTAAATGTAAAAGCATGACAACATTAAGTTTATACATTTCTAAATTTTGACGTAAATATTTTATATAAGCTGTTGGTTTCCCAATAAAATAATGAAATATTTGAAACGATATTGTACCGAGCTCTTTGTTTATATATTTCGTTATGTAACATTTATTGTTCGTAAAACTGGTTTTGATGACGCTTTTACTGCTCGAAGTTTGGTCAAATTACGTTTAATATTGCAGCGTCATCATGATTTTGATTTTATAGCCCAGGCAAATAAATATTCGTAATGTTCGAAACTTTTATAATAACATCAACAAGATTTGTATGTAATTATTGGTTA